GTAGTGGTAGGAATGGATATAGCAGATATTCACAGTCTCATTGATACCGTATGCTCCAATAGCCTTCATGTGGTGATTTCCATGGATAGGAGGTAAGAAGACAGTCGGGAAATATTTTTTGGAATATTGCTCATCATTCTTCTTTCAGGTCTATATGTCTTCTTGAAAGCCACAATGGACAACATATAGCCATATTGAACGAAGAATTCGAGAAATTGGTGGGTTAGCATTCTCTCGTTGTAAAATGGATCTATTTGATTTCTTCAGAGGCCGACGGATGGACGAATACTGAAGGCAACGGATGAGTTGTCTTGTAGAAGAAGCTCTCTATTTGGAGGTGAAGGCATAAGCGCTATCGATAGGTCTGAACAAATTCACTTTACCATTTTTTGATCACGAAAGAGAACCAGTTCTCACATATGCTTGCAGTCGTGAGCAAAAAAGTCGATTCAGGTACAACTTCAGCTTTGAGTTCAGCCGATTACAATTAGCTAGCAGTAAAATGGAGTTGGTGCAGTATCTTCCTTACAGTACCAAGACAGCCGATGCAAGTGCAGCGGTAGAGTGGTGGGTGTTGATATTAGGCTGCATTCATACTGATGCCGAAGTCCGGGAACAGTTCCAGCACAGTAGTTCAGTTTGAAAGCTATGTAGGAACTGTTCCCGGACTTCGGGATCAGCATGAGCGCAGCCTTAGCAGCTTCTCGCGTCAGTTCAAACTTCTCTTCTCAGCCCTCATCGCCATGGATTTGAGCTGACGTCAGCCGAATTCAGTGAATACTGCGACAGATTAGCCGCTCTACCGGTCGTTCCGAGAGGAACCTACACGAGAACGCATGGGCTGGCTTTACTTGTAAGATATTAAAACCAATGAAAGCGTCCGCGTTGAAAGAATTTATTTCTCACATTTGCTTCTGTTTCAGGGAGAGAAATTTGACGATATCGAGGCTCAGAAACATTCAGAAAATTTTGGGGATGTGCCAAGCAGCACTCTGAGCGAACGACTGCACGAGTACAACAAAGGGATGGAAGCGATAAAGAAGAGGAGAAAAACCTTGTTCAGCTACACAGATGAGCTCGTGGATAATGAAAAGATTGAATTTTACGACTCTTTGATAGAGAAGTTAGATAAGCTGTTGAGCCTTTGAAGATAAAGTGTTGCGCAAATGTTTGTGGCTTGAGTGCATGAGTCTCTTTACGATTGTTTATTTATAAGGGAAATAAATCTGATGTAATTATTTCATTTCGCACTTTCGCACTATCATTCCTTCGAGCTCTGTATTGTCTACATATTGAGAGATGGTCGAGTGGTGCGTATTGTCGGTTACCATTAAGTAAAAAAATTACTAGGTTGTAAAGAAAGTTCTGCCAATTCTTCTCATGATTACCAAAAATG